TTCCTTTCGTCATTGCCATGAATCTCCGGATATTGTTTGTAAAAGAGAGATATCCAAGAGAAAGCGTGAGAGGATTATGAGTTATTTTCAACTAACAGGAATTTCGTTTCGTTCTTTTTGCTTATCTGCTTAGAAACATTTTATTTTTACACCTATTTAACAATGAGTATACTTACAATATTTTAAATAACATAATTTATATCGCAAATATTTTTACATATAGATGTTTCACATAAATAATGTTTACACCTTTTTCAAAGTACCTTTCAAATACATTTTAACAACATTTGGTTTTAAATCAACGAAAACAAATAGAAGCTGAAATGTTGCTATTAATTTGTGATCTATAAAAAATATAATTTTTTACAACAGAAAAATTGATTTATAAAGAGTTATCATCATCAACAGCACGACAGCCCGGAGTGGGCCAAGGATTTCCATGCATTCCTCTGGGCGACAAGGTTCCTCCAATTCTTAACTGCACTTGTTTGAACTACAATTCAACCAACAGAAGGTCAGATTAAATGAAAATATGAACAGCTTTCCATCCCACAAGCAACTTAAACAGCTAACAACAAATATGAGATGTATTTATTTAAAACAATATATAAGAGATATTATAATCATCATCAATAGCACCAGAGCCCAGGGTGGGCCAAGGCTTTCCTTTGAAGAGATTTCCATGCATTACTTTGGGCGACAAGGGTCCTCCAATTCTTAACCTTCAGTAATCTGTTTCAACTGCATCTACCTATCGCAACTTGGTTCAACCTCTTCCACTTTGTCCCAGTGGCTTTCCCAAAACAAGCCTTTTTACAGGGTTTAAATCATTCATTCTAAATATATGAGCAACCCAGTTTAATCTATTGATCTTAATATATTTTATAATAACTGGTCTTTATAGTATTTATAAATTACTGCATTTTACCGTCTTTTCGAACAATCACTTTCTCTAAACACTTTCAAAAATAGCCCTTAAAACCTTCCGCTGAAATATACCCAAACAGGCCAAAAATTATCTTGCTCAGATCTTGCCTAAGTCCAAGTTTCACAGCCATAGACTAAAATAGGTCTAATAAGGGTTTTATAAAACAAGAATTTGGTTTTTCTGCTTATGAACTGTGATTTAAACAGATTTATTAACCCAAAAAAGGCCTTATTGGCAGACACAATTCTGTTTTTTTTTTATTTCAGGTAGGATATTATTTTGGCAATTAAAGAGAGTTATCGTATTTTTTAAATATGCATGATGCATGATATACCGGACGAAGACGAAAACCAGTAATATATTAAAATGGCTTTTAAAATTGTTATTTCACTCAAACATCATTTAAAAAAGTTCTATTGTTTTTTTATATGCATTACTGAATATACGAAATGTATTACTGACCATAACAGACAGAATTAATTAATACATATCGAGCACAATCAATAAGAAGCTCCCAATCCGTTGGGACGGCAAAAGTTTTGACAAAGACCTTTCTTTTGGGCATTATTCGGATAGAACCCAACAGCCAGTCCTCTATCCAATAAAATGAATATCAAAGCCGCCGGAACTATACATCACAGGTTTTTCCGTGGTAACCTGAAAATCCGGGGGACCTCTACCGCAAGAATACGGGAACAGGGGAGAGAGAAAAGTATAAAGAATTGCTCCCAGAAAAGCATTTAAAGTAGTCTCAAAGAATTCCAAAATCTAAAAAACGAGGAATATTTTTCCCAACTTGTATGGGTAAGAAATTTTTTCGATTTCTCATTTTCGGGAAAAGGAATCCTTTTTTCTCCTAACCCCAACCCCTCCCCCACACCAGAAGCCTGACCCTTTCAGGGGGTGGCCAGCGCTTATTCTATTCGTCCCGATACATCTTTTTATTCCCCTTTCGCCCCCTTTACTTTATGCGCCCCCTTTTTTTTTTTTTTTTTTTCTTTTCATATTTCTGATCCCCCCCGCTAGGTTAGGCGAGGCGCAAATGCAACAGTAACCATCCCACCTAGAAAGGGACGTGGTCCATTCCTTTGGATTCTTACGCTCCGAGGGGTCTGAATATGGCACGGCACGGAGGGGGGCGTTGAAAAAATTCCGGCGCCCCAAAAACTGGAAAGATCAAGGGGCTACTGGAATGGCTTTCAAATCTCCTGGGTGAAAGATATTGGGAAAGAGATGCTAAAAGTGAAAATTTCACGTTTCAGGAACCGAGTTAACTTACGTATACATTCACCTAAATTAATGCTGTATTTCTGAAATAATATATTAATTATAATAAATATATTTCTTAAATATTATAATAACTTTAGTATAATTTTACACAATACTTAAGGGGTCATACAAAAATTTAGTTATCCCAACTGGAGTAAATCAAAGGTCACTAAAATGACTTTCATATAATATGGATGAAGAATACTGTGAAGAAAAAAAACGAGAGAAAAATTATTTGAAACTAATTAAAAAATATTTAACCTATATAATAAATATATTTATTAACCTCAGTATAATTTTAGCATGACACATGAGGGGTCATAAAAAAATTTAGTATACCAACTGGAGTAAAATCAAAGGTCACTAAAGTGACTTTCAAATAATATGGATGAAAAATATTGTGAAGATGATAAAAAGAAAACATTAAATAAATAAATAATTAAAGTGGTGTGGCTTTAAACAATTTGTAACTAATTAAAAAATATTTAACCTATGCTATAAATATATATCATTAAATAATAATAATTATTAAATTAAATAAATATATATGTCTATATAGTTTAATTAAAAAAAAAATTAAATCCTTTTAAAAAAAAAAAAATCCTCCTATTCGAGGAATTATAATAATTATTGAATATATTTGACGAATAAAAAAAAAAGAAATATTAAATTAACAGTGAAGTGTACAATAGAAGATTTGAAGTTCAACATACAATCCTTCACTCAATTAATGGTAAAGAATTACAGCGAAGTTTTAATTCATAATAACACAAATATGATATAGTGTTCCCCCCAAAAAAAAATGAGTTCCTGAATCATTAATTTCAGTGTATAATCGACACAAAAATTATTTATTTTCAAGTTATAATGCTTTTATTAAATTAAATATGAATATATTATTTTCTACAGTTATAACACTGAAAGAATTAATAACAATTAGTAGAAACGAGAGTTAAATACAAATTAAGACAACACGCTTTCTTTGCTAACGAAGCTTGCAGAGAAAGCAACTTTAGAAACTATATAACAAAAACTCACTTAAATTCTGATTTGAAAAGAAAATTTTGACAATCTAAATTCAAAATATTAAATAAAAGTTTTGATGCAAATTTCTATACCTTTTAATAGACTTAATGATTTACAATTTTCCTCATCCAGTGTTACGTAATATATCACTTAATTAAAAAAAACAAAAAAACAATTAGAAACAGAAAATGTTTACTAAAAATATTTCATAAATTTTTAAGATAACACGACTTCTTTGCTACAGAAGCTTGCAGAGAAAACAACTTTAGAAATTACATATAAAAATTTTTCTTTAATAATAAAATTTGATAATCTAAATTCAGGATATAAAACAAAATACAATTTCATTGAAAATTGAGAAAGGAAAACAAAAGTTTTGATTCAAATTTCTATGCTTCTTAATAGACTTAAATGAAATAAAAGATTAAGGATTTAAATTTTCCTCATTCAATGTTATGTAATGTTTTATCATTTAGTTAAAAACACTGAACAAGATTTTGCATTTGTAAGACACAAAAGTTAGTTAAAAATATTTCTAATAAACAGCAAATAGCTTATAAGAAATATCAGTACCGATATCAGTTTGAAAATTTGTATGGAAAAGTTTATCAATAAAATAAAACTCGACGCCATTTTTCCATAAATTATAACTTAGTAAAATTCATTATAGAACTAAATGAAATTAAAAATTTATCATAAATTATATTTAAATACAAGTTTTTGAAAAATTAAGTTTATCGTAATATCATGGATTATTGTGGCTATCATTGAACTTTTCTGAACTGCATATGTCACATTTTCAGAAATTACATAGGAAACAAATTAAATCCTTTCTTCTCAGCAAAATTTCAATTAAAAATACACATAGATAAAGCCATATTAAATTCACTAACACCACTACTTTTCTGCAAGTATATCTTAGTATCACATAAACCTATTTATATTAGGGATGGATAAATAAACAGTTTGGAAGATATATATACATTTGCGGAATGGACAGCTTTAAATTTGTAGAAGTCTTTTTAACATCCTCATCCCTGCAAATTAGACTGATTTAAAAAAAATTAATAAGGCAATTATGATATAATATTTAAATTATTATAGAAAAGAAAGATGTAGAAAATTTTCATTAATTCATAAAAGTAATTTTTTAAAGAAATGTCTACCATTTTTCGTTGTATATCATGCAAGGTCGTTGAAAAAAGGTATCTTTTTCTTTCCCGTTTTAAAATTCGAATAGAGAACGACCCCGTTTTGTTTTCTTTAAAGGCATTATTTGATCGAGTTTTATGATTTTTTTTCTCTTCAATCTTTTCCCTTTTACTGGCTTCTGGAGTCCGTTGTTTATCACCCACCCACCCACCTCCCTCCCCCACCCAGAGAATTTCCAAACAATATATTTCTTACCATTTATATTCCTTATAGGTATTTCTTTTCCTTTACAGAAAGCATCTGCTTAAAGCAAAAACAAAAATGCTTTTTTTCCCCCCTTTCTTTAGGCAAGTCATTTTCTCAGCTATGGTTAGATATATAGATTTCTAATTTTATCTTTTCATAAAAACATATTTAATGATAATAAAATGATGTCTAAAGTTTGTGATAAAAAAAAGGACAGAAAAAAAAAATAAAGTTTCAAAATCAATTTTGTGACATTTATTAAAATTTCATTTATTCGTTTGATAGTGAGTGGTATAAGTTAGATATGGATTCATTTGTGATTATTATTCTTATTCATTTTATTCTTATTATTTCTTATTATCATTATTATGATTATATGTTCATTTCATGATTACAACAACATTTCCGGTTCTCGTTAGATCACCGAAGTTAAGCATCATTGGGCGCGGTCAGTACTTGGGTGGGTGACCACCTGGGAACACTGCGTGCCGTTGGCAAATTTGGGACCTGAATGGCCGAGTGTCTAGCGCTCTGGCGCTCGGTGCCACAGGTTTCGGGTTCGAATCCCGGCGGTGCCATGGATGTTTGTAGTGGTTCGGAATCCACTTTAAGCCGCAGGTCCCGGTCTCCTATGACTGTAAGAGCGTCACGGAGCAAAAGTCAGGCTTCTACCTACGGGTGCTCCATCACAACAGAAGCTGCTTCCTTCCCCTTCAATCATGAGTCCATATGGGCTCGTGGGCTTGGCCAGCCAAGTGGGATAAGAAACAACAACAACAACAAACATCTTGCCTTTTATTATTAGTGATAACCATAACTAGTCCTCCTCAAAATAATAATATCGAAATAGCATTAAAATAACTTCTTAAGCTTATAACTGGATTAACTGTTAATGCCATACTTAATACAGAGGATAACGAGCTTACTTTTGAATAGATTATCGCTAAGACTTACTTAAACGACAAATTTTCACAGTTTTTTCCCCCTTTTAAAATTATAAAATTTAAGCGACCGGAAAAATATTTAACTTTAAAAAGGAACTACTACCAGATACAATAATTAAGTTTTCTTTTCTTTCTAACTCCAATATTGCATACATAAATAATCATTGTCAATGATGTTGATGAACATTTTTGAAATAAATTATTATGAAAAGAATTTTCAGCGACTTTTAATGCTATCTTCTAATGTAGATAATCATACAAATAAATAATAATAATAGAAGTAAACCTAAGTAAAATCAATTTTATTTTTTCAGTAAAGACTACTAAAAATGATGATGAACATAACTTTCAGCGACTTTTACTGTTACTTACATTAAAAACTCATATAAATAAACAATAGTATAAGCAAACCCCAGTAAAAATTATTCAACTTTAAAAGGGAACTACTACCAGATACAATGATTAAATTTTCATTTTTTTTTCGAACTCCAATATTGTATACATAAATAATCATTGTCAATGATGTTGATGAACATTTTTGAAATAAAATATTATGAATAGAATTTTCAACGACTTTTGTTTATTTATACGAGTATCTAATGAAGGTAACAATAATAATCGAAGTAAAATCAATTTCATTTTTTCGGTGAAATCTATTAAAATCATTAAAAAAAAAAAAAAAATAATAAATAAATAAAAAAAAACTTGCTTGATAAAATACATCGGATGAAATTTCACATCTCCCACACTGTCATACATCTCTAACACCCCTCCCACCCCCAGAACTGGACATCACCGAGAAAAGAAATGACCAAAGTAACGCTACAAGAGACGTTAAAGCGTCCGATAATGATGATAAATTGAAGGTTGCACAGAGCGAAGGGAAGAAAAAACAGCAATGTTCTCCAAAACGATGACAGGACAGCGTTGGATGTCATGACATGACATCGTGGCGTAAACGCGGTTCCTTCTTGTCCGGTACGTGTCACCAGAGGTCCCCCTCTCATCATTGTACCCGCCTCAGGGTGAAGAATCGTTTGGCAGGGGTGGGAAGAAGATCTTTTCGGACGTTCCAGAGCGTAAAATATGGCTACCTATCTGTAGCCGGAAGTAGCCGCCACGTGATTTGTGACCGACGCGGTTGTGCCCCCTCTATTTCTTTCTTGATATTTTGAGTTTTGATCTCCACTTTCCGGTTTGTAAACGGACATGAAGTTTAGGAAATTTGTGAAGGTGAGAGCGTGGCAACTACTTCTCCCGCCTTTTTTTCCCAATCCTCCTTCCTGATATAAAAAAAAAATGCACATTTTTCATTGTATCGTTTAATGTTCATGACACAGAAAAATTTTTTTTTCTTTAAAAAAAACATTAATATATATTTTTTTATATGGAATATTCACAAGGAGTCTTTTTGTAAAATTAAAAACTAGTTTGTAGATTAAAGTCTTTTTGATTATTTCTGACTAAAACCAGATCTATAAGATCATAAGTTTTCATAACTTCTTAGAATTTTTTAGAAAGGAATTCAAGGAAATTGCTCTGATAAATCATACTTCAGTATATTACACTAATGAAATAATAAACCTAGTTTCACAATTTTCTTGTCTCTTTTAACAAACAGGGGCTGATGACCGAGTGTTTTGTGTTCTGGAGCTTGATGCTACAGGTTTCAAAGGCCTGATCACCAATTAGCTAGTGCTCTGGCTTTTAGTACCTCAGGCTTCAGTTCGAATCCTGATGGTGGCATGGATGTTTGTTAGTGGTTTGAAATCCCCGTTAAATTGTAGCTCCCGGTCTATTTAGCCCAAAGTGTGCAAAAAAGACCGTAGAGCAGCGACAAACCAAACCAAGTCCCAGGCATCGGGTTCGGGTCTCGGCAGTGCCATGGATGTTTGTAGTGGTTCGGAATCCACTTTCCTACCAATAAAAAGAAAACATCTACTGGCAAATCTGCCAGCGAGGACAGCTTTGGTCCACCACGGCGTTGTTGCGGCAATGATGATGATGATGTTTTTTTTGTTGATTTTAATAAACATTTGTGTACAAAAACTAACTAAAAGTCTTGTTTTACTTCAAAAATAGAAAAAAGGACAGACACATATATCTTAATCTAATCCTATTGAAACATCAATCATAATCCTATGACATCAAAAATAATGTCAATGTATACTTAATTCATTGTGTTCGTTTTTGTCCATAATTTATTTATGATTTTACCAATTATACAATATTTTTTTTGGGAATATACTAATAAAATTCTAACACGTAAATTATTTCATTAAAAAATAAATGAATATTTTGATGAGATACATTAAAAGTTCAAAAAAAAATATTCACTAGCAATTGCTTAAACTACAAATAAACCAAAATGATTGCAAAAGAAAAGGATTAACAAAAATAAATTTTTATTTGAATAAGCTACCGAAAAAAAAAAATGTGAAATTTATATTCCAAAACATTTTTTTTTCAAATAACAATTATAAAAGATATATTTTTTTCTTTCCCATCATGCATTATAGTACTAATCTCAACAACACACATCCAAAACGAAGAGGAATTCCTTCTATTCATTACTACAGTAACAACAGAAAAAAAAAAAAAAAAAAGGATTCCACAATCTTCCTCAAGGTCTGGAAAAGAGCACAGGTGCAGTTTGCTTAACAAAATGAGATTAAATATCCATTTAAAATGAATCCCCAGCGTAAAATTAATACCGCAGGCAGATTAAATTTCAGAAAGAAAAAAAAAACTAACAACAAAAAAAAGGGAAAAACTCAAAGACAAAAGAAAAACGGGGTAGGGAAAAAATTAACCTCAATTTCAGCAAATTTTACGCTCGTCAAAACAAAAGATTCCCTCTCCTCGTAATTTCTCTTCAAAACGTGTCTCGAACATGCATGTATAGATGTACAGTACAGTACAACAAACCTGCCTGGCGAAAATAAAATACAAAACACACAAAATATAAAAAAATTTTTCTCTCCAATCTCTTCTCTTCTCTACTTAACATTAACGAAAAGCTTTTCTACATCACTGTGTACCGATATTATCCCTATCTGGAATCAAAAATAAATACAAAAAAAAGGGGAAAATATTCCATTAAAAACATAGTTTTATTTTTATATTTTTTTTACCTTAAACGAATTGGATACGGTAAAGTAAAAAAATAAAAAACTAGATTTGACGAAGTTTTTCAATTTTATTTAAACAAATAAATAAATAAAAACCAAAAAATAAGGAACTAAAATATTTAAACAGACGATAATAATAAAAAAAATTGGAAAACGTAGGTAGGTAGGGATGGATGGCAAGATGAGGAAGGAACAAGATAATGACAGCTCCAAACGGAAGGTTAAACACACTTCCGACTCGGAAGCTGGCAGTAGACCCCCTCCTCTAGGGCAGACGATATTCGCTACACCCCTTTTCTCTATCTTTTAGGCTAGTACGCCCAACAAAATTCTAATGGCACAGGCGAAATAGAAAAGTTGGGGAGCTGTTTAATTTGGGCGAAGGGCCTTTCTTGAAGTTTTGGCGGGAATCAAGGGGTGGGGTGGGTGGGTGGGGGTGGAGTCAGAGGAAATGGAAGTTCTGGAGTAAGAGAGAGAGAGAATTCCTCCTAACGGTAAGTGAACGGGAGCGAAAGGCAAGGAGCCGGCCTCCTTCTAATTACAGCACCAGCCCAAATCACCCCTCTGGGATTCGAGGGAAAGGTTAATGGAGCAAGGGTCGGCAGCCATCCTACATTTGCTGCCAACCTCTTACCATCCCTGGTGAAGGGTTGCCGAAGGATGCTGGAGTCGCCAATGGTAGGGCCAGGACATCAAGAAAAACAGTTCTTTTTTTCCCTTTAGAGTTGCAACAACAGGTCAATTATACATAAACATATATACGCATGTATACAAGTTTTGACTTAATGGACCCACAAACGAATAAGGTAATAATAACAGAAATATTGAATATTAAATGGCATTTTTTACCGCTTTCCAATGTAAGTATTTATTCTTCCAAATGCAGAGCCCCTTTAGAATGGAAATGTCACTATGGTAACAAATATATGATATAATAAAATTGACGTTATTATTTTCCATGCAATTTCAGATTAAGGCGTTCATTCATATGTTTTTTTAATACATGTTTTAAATAATAAAAAGTTTTAATACATTATTTATATTGATATAAAAAGATGAAAATAATAAAACAATTATTTTATGTCCAAGTTAAAGTTATTTGTTTTATTACAGCACATTATTTGTTTTTTTTCCTTTCCCGAAGATTTTTGAAAAGATTTTAACAACATCCATATATATTTTGAAAATTTTAATTTTCCTAAACGTTTTAGAGGAATTGATTTATATATCAATGTGAGAAATCAAGAAGCTAAATATGCTATCAAGAAGTAAAAAAATTATATCTTTGTTTTAATTTCAACATTAATAACACCTGGTTTTAAAAATAAAATGAGAGAATAATAATATAGGGATTATGGCAAAGTGACTAGTGTTCTGGCGCTCGATAGGGTTCCAGTGTGGCCATGCATGCCAGTAGT